ATAAACAAATGGTTAATTTACATAATAATAACTGTACACATCTTTGAAGAATAATTTCCTTTCTCTTTATGTATTCAGTTTCTTTCTTCAATAAATTTCTTCTTCATTTTAGAATTTTTGATTTAATTAAATATTTCTGTTATTCTAAAAAACAAAATGCATAGAAAAAGCTTCTAATTTTATTCCTTCAGTAATACGAACATTCAGAATAAATATGAAATCACACATGGCATAGAATTTAATGACCCACAGAGCCAAAAAAATCTAAAATAACAAAACTTTTAGAATTTAGGACAGGCACTGGGAGCAGAACTTAATATCCACAGAGACTGCATCAGGTGGGAAAATTCCCAGCACCAGCCCTGTGTATGATGAGTTGAGACATATAAGATGAATCTTAAAATGTTGATTTTCAACTTCTTTATATGTAGGCTATTCAGAAAGTAAGGAAAGTTTCCGTCTGACGTCGCTAGGCGCACAGCGATCACATATATTTTGGTGTTTGCATGCTTGGCATCTCAGTCGGTGTCCAGCCATCACAGCGGGAACATTTCCACGCTGCCGTTTTTTCGATATTCAAATTTAAAATGTGCACTGCAATTGAAAATCCTGCCAGTTGTGAGGTGCAATCTGTGATACGGTTTTTGTTGGCAAAAAACCTAAAACCTATGCAAATTTATCGGCAAGTGTATGAAGTGTACGGAAACAGCGTAATGAATGAAGTGCCATCTGGAAATGGTGCATTCAGTTTAAAAATGGCGAAATAACGTTCACGATGAAGAAGTGGACGCCCTAAGCATTGTGACTGACAACTGTTGCTATGTTCATGAAAGATTCGTGAAACTACCATTTCACAATAACGAGCTTTTTGCCTACTTTCCACAAGTTTACGACTTTGTTGTTTGAAACTATCACACAAAAGCTAGCTAACCGCAATTTTGTGCAAGATGGGTGCCGAAATTGCTTACAGACCACCATAAAGGTCAGTCAATGGGGGCAGCTTTGACATTTCTGGAGGCCTATGACAAACATGGTAATTTATTACTGGATCGAATCGTAACTGGTGACGAGACATGGGCGAGACACGTGAATTGCGAGACAAAATTACAGTCCATGCAGTGGGGAACACAAGTCCCCCAAAAGACCAAGAAAATGTTCGCAAACCTTGTCACCAAAGAAGATTATGGCGACTGTGTTTTGGGATAGGCAAGGTGTGCTTCTGATTGATTTTCTCGAAACATGGGTGCCACAATAAACTCTGAGCGGTACTGTCAAACATTGCGCAACCTTAGGAGAGCAGCTCAAAACAAGCGCCAAGGAAAGCTGACGTCCAAAATTTTGTTTTTGCGCGACAATGCCCAAACTCACACAGCAAACCGCACTCAAGAACTCCTTGATTCATTCAAATGCAAGGTTTTTCCTCATCCACCATATACAGTGGTGCCCAAAATTGTGGACACTTTTGGAAATTTTTATGTTTTTGAACTCCGTATGCTTATAGAAAATGTTACGTTTCGCAAAATGCAAACTTGTATATATCATTTTAAAGAGAATTTATTACTGAATTCAATACAAAACAAAATTGAAATATTGCAATACAAAAAATTATATGTCTTTAATATAAATAAAAAACAGTTATGAAGTGGTTTGTAATGTCTAGCTTTCCTGGCCAATTACTGTTCTTATTCTGAGAACCATCAAATGTTAGTAATTGCCAGTAGAAGCTGACATCATGTTTACACTTGAAACAAATCATTATTTTGCTTTGTTCTGTAGAAGGAGGACCTGTTTCTTATACACTGCAATTACAAGTAGAATTTTTGTAAAAATTTTTAATATTTATCAAGAAGCAATGACATCAAATAAAAGTAGATTGGCACCTAGAAAGAGATGCAATATTATTGTGTTATGAGAAAGTGGTATTTCCTATGCTGGAATTGCAAGACAGGTGGGTGATTCAGTAACTACATCTGGAGTCCGAAAGTTTTATTTACGATATCAGAAAACAAATTCAATAAAAAAACAAAGAAGAAAAGGCAGAAAAGGTGCACACATCTATTGATGACAGAAATAAAAAGACTGTGTCTCCAAGATAGAAAAATGTCATCAGCTGCCATCAAAGTGATCTGAATGATGCTGGTGTTTCTGTCAGTTCAAGAACAATCAGGAGAAGATTAACAGATGTTGCACTGAGAGGTAGAATTCCACGAAAAGAGCTTTATCTTAATTTTCAGCAACGAAAAAAGACTACAGTGGCAAAGGAACACATTAATGGACAGATGATCAGTGTCCAGTTATATGGAGTGACAAACTAAGATATCGTTATTCGGTAGTGATGGGCAAAAATATGTAAGACTAGGAGAAGAGCTACTCCTGACTGCATTCAAGCAACTGTGAAGACCCAGTTAGTATTATGATTTATCATGCCTGTCAGCAGATGTTATTGGTGGCCCTTCATGTCATCGATGGACCTGAATCCAGAAAATACTTGACACTATTCTAGAGCCAAACTTCTACCTTCCATCAGAGATCTCTTTCCCACAATGCTTTGTTTTTTTTCAGCAGGATTCTGCTCCTTGCCACAACGGCCAAAATTTCGAAGAGTGGTTTCGTGCAATGAGCATTAAATTGTTGTCATGGCCAGAAACAGTCCTGACCTCAATCATATCGAAATTTATGCCCGTTTGAAAACTCTGTCCGAATGAGGCGCCCATCAAATAAAGGGAACTAATTGAGGCTATAATTGTTTCCTTCCTGGCATTATGTAATAACGAAAAAAGAGCTTAAAACTTTTGTCATTCAATGAAACGTCGATGTGAGCTGTAATAAAAAAAAAGGGTACCCTCTAAATACTGATAACTCACTGCAATCATCACTATCTAGTGTATATCGATAACTATTACGTTTAACTTTTTTTGTATTGCATATAATTGAATTTTGTGTTTTGTATTGAATTCAGTAATAAATTCTCTTTAAATGATATATACAAGTTTGCATTTTGTGAAATGTAACATTTTCTATAAGCATACAAAGTTCAAAAACATAAAAATTTCCAAAAGTGTCCACAATTTTGGCCACCACTGTAGTCTTGATCTTGCACCTAGTGATTTTCACTTGTTTCCAAGAACAAGAACTGTCTAGCAACACAGCGCTTTGACGACGACAAGGAGCTGTGGGTGCGCGTCACTGAGTGGCTGAGATCGCAGGCAGCAGAATTCTGTGACGAAGGAATTTCAAAGCTTGTCCACCGCTATGATAAGTGCCTTAATTTGTTTGGTGACCATGTAGAAAAGCAGAATTTTTGTCGCTCTTTCTGATGCATATAATATTTTTTTCCCCTTGTACTTAGTTTCTTTTTAATTCCAAAATGTTCCTTACTTTCTGAAAACCCCTCGTAAATAGAAAAATTCCTTTCTATAAATACCTGTGCATGTGATAAGATTACAAGCCTTTTAGATATTTAAATGCATTTGTCTAGTGAAAAGTAGAGAAAATGGAGTGAAAAAAAACATGTTAAAAAATGACTTCTACTGTCAGAAGTAAGTTTCATTGTTCTTCCAAAAATTCTCCAAAAAGTAAGAAATTCAAAACAAACTTTACGTAAAATACACTCATTTTGTGTCAATGCCATGAAGACATTTTTCATTTTGTCTCATCTTTCTGGAATATTCTAGTATCTTGGGTCTATAAATCTTGGTTTCAAATCCTTCTAAACTTTCCAAAATGCAATGCCTAAAATCCTAAAGAAAAAGTAAGCCTAACAAATCCTGTAAAAGCAAAATGCCAGAAATATTTTCAGAAACGGCAAGGGGGGGCAAGAAGGAAAATGTGTAAAATTAATTTTATAGAGAATAAAATTATACATATTCTGAGACAATTGCATGGGGGAAAAACTAACCATAAAAAAATTAAAAAGAAGACATTTTTAATTCATTACATCGCTATTTGCTTAATGAGAATTGCTTTTGCTAAGAATTGTTCTGTAAATTGTGCTTTATTACCTTGTTTATTTTCCAGATTCAGAATATTGCATAATAAGTTGCCAAAAGAGAAAGTAATGTCACTTTATAATATGACAGCAAAAAATAAAAATTTTACATTTTAATGTTATTTCTTAAATATAATTTTAATATATTGTCATTTTTTAAATGATTTTCAATTGTTTATAAAAAAATCGTCAAAAAATTCCCAGATTTTCCCCCCAAATTTTTTTTCTACAGAAACAGATCTTAAGATCGCCAAAATGATGATAAGTCGCCAAATTTAGAACCGTTTAATAAAAATTCACATCACCAAAGGCAAAAAGTTATTCAAGAGCTCTTCATTTGGGGGGGGGGAAAGAAAGAAAGAATTTCGAATTGCTCATGTTTCACTTTTTGCCCAGAATCCCGAGTATACCAACATTGTATTAGAGATAGAAGCAAATTATAACCCATTCACCCATTTAGAAGATAATCATATTTATCAGTGAATTGTCAAAAATATTTCTCCAAAATGCTAATTTACACTCAAAATCATATTCGCAGGCGTAAAGGTCTTATGCGCAGACGCGTGTGCAGAAAGTTTGTAGCTTTGAGGTCCGGATTATAGATCATTCCGGATTATGGGTGTCCGAATTAACGACTTTTGACTGTATAATACTTTTCCTCCAACGTGTTTTTTTTTTGGGGGGGAAAGGGCATGCTCATTTACTGAAAGACCAAGGGCAAAGTTAGTGCTTGACTTATGTGCTTTGTGTCGGACTAGGCTATCACTTAATCTTGGGATGTTACAGTAACAAAATTTCTATCACAATAAAGATTTATTTAAAATTACATTATAGTTTAAATTTACAACCTGTAAATTTTGCATTTACACAAATTTATAACAGGTAAAATAGGTGCTGACAGTCATCAGTAACTGAATTTAATAAATTTTCAATAAATAATTATAGCAATCCTAATATTTACCATTCCTGCCTAAAAAATTTATATTATTGAATTTAAAACTAGAAAACTAACCTTTTCTGTTGAATAACTTCTTTAGGCTGAATGCTGCAATTCAAGTTATTTTCTGTTAAAGGCTTTAAAGGCCCAGTGTAGGGCTTATATGGAAGTTTTCTAGATAGACTTGCTTTGAGATCAAACTTGCTTTTCCTATTCATGGAAATATTTCCAGTAGCAGCTACTTTTTGGGAATCTATACGAATACAGTAAGAGGTTTTAAAATTTCTATACTAAAATTCTTTAACAATGGTGACATGAAAACTCAAAAAATCATTAAAATAATACACACAATATTAAATATATATAAGAATAATAAAGGAAATATACCTGAAGTATTTTCAATTAGCTTCTTATTTACTGAATGGGAGATTTTTTCTGCTGGCCTCTTGGCATTCTCATTTGAAGTGCCTGAAGATCCAAAATTTAAATTCATCCTTCTGGTAGATTTTATAGAAGGAATGAAAGGAATACCAGCAAATGGTTTCGGAATTTTACTCCCCTTTTTTTGAACTTTTTTCTGCAAATTTAGAAAATCCAAATTAATGCAGAGGTTAGAAAATTCAAAAACCTGCTAACTTATATTATAAAATGTGAAAAATTGAGAAGTTCTCGCACTAGCTGGAAGCACCATTTTAAAAGGACTCGAAACTGATTTTAAATTTGCTATGTAAAATGCGATTCATGTTATTCCACTATTTAAAATATGATTATGTAAATGAATTAATGTTTAATTACATACTATAAATTTCATGTTGTTTGGATTTCACATTAAATTTCATTTCGCAGTTTTCTTTTATACTGAAAAAATGAATAGGGAAGGAAACTTTTAATTTATAAAAGTACTTTTGAACATGCTAAAAATAAAATTAATAACGAATGCACATATTACTGGGTGGATAAACTTAGTAAAAACAATATATTGGTGCAAAACAAAATTAATTACAAATATTTATTGATTAAACATTTGGCTGAATCTTCAATAAAGTTCAATAAATGTCTACAATGCATGATGAAGTTAGAACAAATAAAATTGAATAAAAAAAATTACTCTAAAGATCCCAAGGGCGGGGAATGGAATTTACAAAATTTAATTTTATTGTTGAAATCACTTTCATAAATAAAGGCCAAAAATTAAAAACTGGGAGATCCGGTGTTCTGTTGGGAGATGTATAAAAAAATGGGAGAACTCGTAGTTTCGAAAATATAATCTATAATAATAAAAGCAAGTGTAATGTGTCTGTCTGTCTGTCTGACTGAGCTCTCCAGCCAAATCTATCGCACGCAGGGACCTGGAATTTTTTATACGGAAGCACAAAGGGGCTGGCCACCAGACCTCGAAGCCCGATTTTCAATTTTTGAATTAGAAAAATTTAAAAAAAATTATTTATATTAATTATCTGTCTGTCTGACCGAGCTCTCCAGCCAAATCTATCGCACGCAGGGACCTGGAATTTTTATACGGAAGCACAAAGGGGCTGGCCACCAGACCTCGAAGCCCGATTTTCGATTTTTGAATTAGAAAAATTAAAAAAAAATTATTTATATTAATTATCTGTCTGTCTGTCTGTCTGACCGAGCTCTCCAGCCAAATCTATCGCACGCGGGACCGGAATTTTTTATACGAAGCACAAAGGGGTGCCACCAGACTCTCGAAGCCCGATTTTCGATTTTTGAATTAGAAAATTTTAAAAAAATTATTTATAATTAATATCACGTTTTTTTTGACTCACTGATATTATTATTTGTTTTCAAATAACGTTCGATTGTAACAATTGATTTCTTTATTCTAGCGTTAGTTTGCTGTTTTGACGATACATTAAATCGATTAATTACAATTCATTTCTTTTTTAGCTTGTGGGGGGGAAGAGAGAGAGACAGTCTACATGTCCTACACTACTATTCCTGCGCTATTCACTTATCTGCAATTTTTAAATGCACGGGCAACGCCGGGCGGGTACAGCTAGTTAGAAATAAATAAAATAACAACAGGCCTCACCTTTTGATGAGATTTTAGCTTCTCTTGTAAAGAAATCTGATCCTTTATCTTTTTAGCTGAATGTTCAGTCTTCCTCTTTGAATACTCTTCAATAGATTCCATTTTCTCAAAAGCTTTCTCGTGTATCTTTTTGAAATCTGTACAAGTTCACAAGTTTTAATATTTGCTATATATGATCAAATCAATGTGCATATTTTATACAATAGGAAAATTCTTAAGAAAAATCAAAACATATACCGTCCTTACTCTGTGCAGCCTGTTATTGCCATAAGATCACCTTATGTCAGTTAGACAAGTACCGTATTAAGTCGTGCTCTTGCTTCTCCCCCCCCCCAGCATAAGATTCTGAAATTGTTTTTTAAATATTTACGTAACTTTGCCTTTCCTCAAGGCATTCAAAAGCGGGTTCCTTAAATTTTAAAATGGGTTGTCCATGTAGTGATTGTTTTTCAGCTTACTAACTTATTTACTGGTAGATTTTGGGTACATGGACTCGGAATGATGAAACAATTATAACGATGATTTAAGAAAAAAGGATATCTAGTGCTTTTGATGGTTTTCAGGATAAAAGTGATGATTTGTAAACTGAATGCTTGTACAGAAATGTCAAAACATGAATATTTTTGCAACTTAAAATTTACTTTTGTTATTAGACGTCTATGATCAACTGTTGCAAAAATAAAGATTGGATAAGAGCTTTTGCAGACATGATGTGTATAACAGAAAGCAGAGATGTGTTACTTTTAGATACGTGTTTCATTTAAATTTAGAACAGAATTAAACAGATTAAGAATTAAAAAATACTAGACTTATAACAACAACTTTTAATGCAGTTGCCTTTCTAGCACAAATAGGTTGGAAGTATCCCTACATTGCGTTTAAACTCAATAAATTCTGTTTTACGTAAAATTTTAAAGTGTGCACAGTCATGCTTCTGATAGTCATATTTAAGTAGTCGTTAGACGATGAAATAAAGCAGCTTTAAAATATGTATAATAACTTTATCCCACAATATTCCTAAACATCAGCCCAAGCACTTATGCATAAAAACCAATGCTTCAGTGCTTATGTAGACTTTTATCATTATTTTCATTGCTCTGCCATCCCTTGAAACCATACATGATATTATACATTACAAATTATACTATATATATATATATAATTTTTTTTTTTTTTTTAATCTATCTTTCTTTAAGAACCAGGCTAAAAAGTCAGTCGTTTACTTTTACACTTAAAGAGGAAATACGATTCATTGTTACTTTATTTAGCATGGTAATTACTGTCTTGTGAGTACAATTTGTTAGTTAAGCTTTATTGCACTCATGGAGGTTTTTCAATCATCAGAAATTTCTAACAAAACATGGAAAGTTAGGGAAATGAAAAATGAACAGGGAAAATTAGAGAAAAAGCAAACTTTCCTCAAAATGTCACAAAAGTTAAAACATACGAATCTTCTCAGAGAATAAAATACTCATGCTTAAAATTAAGCAGGAGAAAAGTGTGCCCCACAGCAGCAGGCAGCTCATCAAACATTTTAGTGTGGCTCTCAAGCAATAATCAGATTTCGTATCATAATTTGTATCAAGTTATTTTTAAATACAACAAATTTGAATTTATAATATATTCTAAACTTATAAGCTTGTGAGCTATTTTATTTTTGTTCAAATTAAGATAGAACTTTGTATATCATAGATTGGTCTTCATTAGTAAGAATTGACAATTTTGAAATCTGGCAAGAATTCACAATACATTTTCAACAGAAACTGGTCATAAAGTGAGTATGCTAAAATCCTGATATTATAAAGCGGCAATATGATACTGATTTAAAAGAATTACAGAATCATCAGGAAGTTTGAAAATTTTACTGTAGTGTTGAGAATAATTTAACAAATCTGAGGAATCGGCTAGAAAATTGTTGCTTTAGCGTCACACTATTTATATAAATGAAAAAGCATTTTCTATCATGAATGAATATTAATGAAAACAATTTACAATCAAGCACTACCAATGATCATTTACAAACAATTTCAAGAATTTCCACCACGAAATTAACACCTAAAATTATGAAAGTGGGAAAAATGCAAAAGATGTAAAAGAATGTCATTTGTCTCATAAGTTGCTGCTTATTAGAAATGTAAATATTTTAATGTTAGAATTTGCTTTCCCTAGTAGTAAAAAAGTATATTTATTTGTGGATAATATTCTATTTACAATATAACATATTTTGGGACAATAAGTTTCTGCAAATGCTTCTGAAAGACACTTACTTGGAGTCATTTTCATTACTGCTTTCTTATGACTTCCAGATTTTGAAGTCAGTACAGCATCTTTTTGTTTACTAAGGGCTGTCAAAAAAGAAAAAATATCACAAGAAATTTACATAAGGAAAAAATCTAACCTAATCTAATCTAGCCTACCCAGCAAAAATAATTTATTTTGATTACAATGCTAAATGAGCTTCTTTAACCCACAGCAGGTTTTATAATAACAAATTAACATTTTGTAAACAATTTTTCTTAGACAAATATTTTGATACATGAATCAATATAAATTATATCATAATGAAAATTTGTAATTTAAAATCTAAATTATAACAACAGTGGTAATAATAATGTTCTGTATGTTTTTATGCATGTTGGATATTCTATGAAATTAATTAGAATTTACTTTCTTACATGTTAAAAATTTACTGTATTCTCGCATGCATAAGCCAAACATTTTTCACAAGATAGCAGATGAAAATCAGGGGTGCGAAATATTAGAAAAAGGTACATAAAGGAAGCCATTTAAGTATAAATCCAGTATTGTTGGGTGAACATTACATAGAATAGTACTATAGTAGTTGCAGGTCTTTTGAAAGAAAATGTCAGGCAAACAATTTAGCTATAATGCAAAATTTAAACTGCGAGCTAGCCAGCCAATTCTCTAAAGAAAACGTGAACCAAGCTGCAGCATGTCATTTCCAAATGGATGAATTCAATGTGCAAGAGTAGAAAAGCAGAAGAATTAACTTCAAATAACAAGCAGCAAGAGGAAGGCAATTCGTGGAAAAGCAGCTAAGCATCTGCAGTTGGAATATAATGTTTTGCCATTTGCGAATGAGAAATGATTATGCTATAACTGTTGATGCATGCTTCTAAGTTCAAGAAGAAACTGGTAAGATAGAGATAAGCTGTAATTTTCAAACAAGTGCAGGATGGTGTGCCTGTTTTATGCATAGGAATGGCTTGTCACTGTTGTAGTAGGACAACAATTGCACAGTGTCTTTTAGAAAACTTTGACAATGAAATACTAATATTCCAGAGATATATTATTCCCAAGCTAATGAACATACATTGTTTAAAATGTGTGCAATGGACTGGCTAAAAACAGTTTAGAATAAAAGATCCAGTAGTTTGCTGAAACCTAAAAGCCCATTAGTTTAAAACAGCTTCTGATGCCACATAACTTCTCAAGTGAAAGGATAATAAATTAGATTAAAAAATGTATATAGCTGTGGTTCCTGGAGGCCTAACTTCCATCCTCCAGCCCTTTTATGTTACTGTTAATCACTCCTTTAAACGTTTATTCTGGGGATTTTATAATAATTGGATGAGTACAGGAAACCATAACCTCACACCAAAAGGAAGAATCAAATGTCCAAGTGTGCAGAGTGAGAATGGATTCTGGAAGCTCTAAACAATCACTAAAGGATTTCTGAAGAGTGGAATATCCAGTGCTTTAGACAGCTCTCGGGATGACAAGCTGTGTGATATCAGTACTACAGATAGTGACATAACTGGTGCAGACATCTACTCTAGTGATACCAACAGTGAATAAAAGGTGCTTTTTGGTGTGAAGGATACGGCTCGGTAAATATTCTTAGAAGACATCAATCCACATTGCTAAAACACAACTATTCATTAAAACAGGAAAACTTCTACACGAATACTCGAACAATCCTTGCACTCGAGATAAGAGCCAATGTGTGCGAGTTCGCTGGTCACACCGACGGTTATTATGAAACCAACATGATGTCATCTGGCGGTGCACGCAGCCGGACGTAAGACTGCATCAAAGTATTATTCCAGTGACACAAAAGGGGTTGATTGCAAAATTCAAATTTAAGATATACACTTTTATACTTTAAAAATGTAAGTATAAAAAACAAGAACTACAAAATATATGGCTAGTAATATACAAGTAATAATATACTTAAATTATAATTGAAATATATAACAATACAATTCATATCATAATTAAACAAAATAATGAAAAGTTAATAAAATAAGAATTTTAAGAAGCTCCCAAATGTACGGAAATGAAATTAATCTAAGTATTTATATGTGTGTGTGATTATGGCAAAGCTTCGAGGGCTATCTGCCTAAGGGGAGGGATGCCTTCGTGGAGGACTTTCTACGGGAAACTGGCTCTTATACACATTACACATGGGGAAAACCACAAAAACGCCCATGCAGCCATTCCATTCACAGGTTCGAACCTCGGACCGAAATACCAGTGTTCAGTGACTTTACCGCTCGGCTGCTGACTCTAAGTATTTATATACTACAGTACAAAGTCCAAAATCCGGACTCGTCGGGTCTTCAGCGATTCACAATTTGGGATTTTTTCGGATATTAGATCATCAGTTCAAATCTAGGAAGATGGCATGTAGAAATTATAAAATTAAAAATATGAAATCATGATTTATGAAATAATGAAGTATTTATGATTTAAGCAGGGTTGCCACTCAAACAGGAGAATGAAATTCCCTGACTTTTCCAGGTTTTCCAGGTATGTTTCGAGAAAATTCCAGTTTATCCACGTAATGTACGTTGGCTGTGCTAAGAGGTAAATTAATTATGGTATTACTTGTACTGTGTAGCAAATTCACTTAATTATTCAATAAATCTCAGAGGACATTTATTCTTAATTATTCTTGGTACACTTTGTTTGATAATTTTGTTTACTTTTCCACTTAAGAAACTTAATAAAATTTAAGACATATACATTGTATAACAATTGTACGTTTCATTTAATTATTACTCACGATCATCACCAGTTCAACGTGAAGCTAATAAGGTTCTTATAAATTACAACACAATGCTAAAAGTTAGGTTAGATTTTAGGTAAATTTAATTTGTGTGAGGTGTCTTCTTAAAAGGCACCTTAACACTTGAAAACACAAATATAATTATAATAGGAGTTGTTTTCTCCTCTGAAGATTGAGATTAGAATCTGCCCAATCTGGAATAAAATAAGGCTTTTTTTGCAGACATTCTGTAGCTAAATGAAAGAAAGAAATCTATTTAATGATATTTTTTTACTAAATTGAGGTATTTTATATTTATTTCGCAGCATACATAAGGAAAAAATATGTGCATTAAATTTCGTGATGTCATCATACTGCTAGAATTAATTTCAGGTTTATGCCAGAGAAAATTTCCTGAAATTTGGAAATATTATTTACTAATGATATATAAATTTAGAGGGAAGAAGCAACATTAAATGATATGAATAACAAAAAATAAAGATAATTACTTAAAAATTTAATTAGAATAATCAACGATATTTTAGCGAATATAGTTACATATGGTTATCCTAGATGATTGATTACTATTTTTTATTTTACTTACTGCAAAATGACAAGGAATTTATTAAAAGAAAAAAAAAAAAAAAAAAAGATTTTGCGGTAAAATCCTAGTATACGGTACGGCCTTCGCACGATTTTGAAAATTGTTGCCAAGAACAAAATGACTCGTTTACTGCTCATCATCATGTCGCCAAATCCCGCTGTACCATACATGGAGATTATTCTAATCAAAGAACGTCTACGTAAAGAAGAAAAGGTTCCATACACGTAAATGCTATTACGCGACTAGAAAGCGGAGGGAAAATTTGCGAAGGGATTTGGCGACAGAACCTGGCGGCCAGAATTTCCCTCTCCGCGATGTGTACAGGAAATTGAGAAACACGTGTTAAGAAGAAACGTTATTTGACAAAAAAGAAAACTAAGAAAATCCGTTTTTAAATTATTGCGAAAAATCCAAGAAGAAACGTTTTATCAAAGAATGTTTTTTCTTGGATTTTTCGCAATAATTTTAAAAACGGATTTTCGTAGTTCCCCCCCCCCCCTCAAAATAACTAATCCATGAATTAATTTACTTGCGCCAAAAAATATTTTCTTTTCCTTTAGAGTTTAAAGAAATTTTAAACGATATTCATTTTATGAATTCTTGATAACGTGACCTTCAAACTTCGACACCGGTTTCGAGCTTTGGCGACAGATATATCGTGCATGCACAGCTGTTTCCCTCTATGATGGAACGGAGCCACATTTGTTGCAGAGAGGTTTTCTTTCTTTACAATACATATTTTTTGATTCTAACCTTCATGGTACCGTATACTAGGATTAAGCCCATTTTGTTTTATACGAGAACAGGTACTTTCTTTAGTTCATGCACTGCACATGCGATTTTCGAGGTTACTGGAAACCAAAAGTTGTGGGAAACTTGATTTGCCTTTCTAAAAGACAATCAAATTGGAGCTGCGAAAATTGGCTCTATGCCAGCTGCCCGAATGACATTCACGTGATACACAATTCAGCAAAAAAGTGATCTCTTCCGACGTCGGCGCAAAACTCGCCTTTTTTGGCGGGATCGTTGTATGAAATTCCCTGACTTTTCCAGATTTTGACTAAAACATTTAAATTCCCTGACTTTTCCCTAAATTTTTTGGTAAATTTCCGAATTCCCTGACTTTTTCCGGTTTTCCAGGTAGCGTGGCAACCCTGTTTAAGGGTTAAGCTGCCCGTGAAATCTCTCAATCAGTCCTTTGGGCTATGGATAGTAAACAGTTCGAATGCGATGTGTACCCAAAACCTTTGTTTAATCCTTAAATAAGCAAGATTAAAAATTTTGGCCTTGATCAGTTGTTATTGATGCAAGGCAACCAAACCTAGCTACCCAGTTGTGCACTAATGCTTTAGAAGTAGTCTGAGCTGGAATGTCGGCATTAAGTATAACTTCTGGCCATCAGGTAAAACAGTCAATAATTCTCATGCAATAATAGTTACCTTCAGATGGTGGAAGAGGTCCTTCGGAATCAATATGGATATGCGCGAATCTTGCATCAGGCAAGGAAAATGTATCCAAAGGTGATTCTGAATGTCAGACTTTTAGAACACTAACTTTGTAGGCAAGATTGAAAGGCAGTTTTAATAAATTTCTTCATATTGAGAGAGAGAATTTTGAATTTCGGAGTCCTCAAGCTGCGCTCTGGATAACTTTTTATAATCAACATTTGGTTATCAGATACTGTATCTATTTCCACCCTGGATAAGGTATCAGCAATAGTAATAGTTGCA